AAAAAAACATCCGTGGCTTAACGGAGCTGCATTCTACGTGTTCCAAACTTTCTATCTTTAGGGGATAATATTGTTTTGCCTGCACACTCCCATCATTCAAATTATTGCATTGTACATGTACATGTTCCAAGCTGCATTCTACGTGTTCCAAAATTTTTTATCTTTGGGGGATAATATTGTTTTGCCTACAACTCCCATCATTCAAGTTATTGCATTGTACATGTTCAAGCTGCATTCTACGTGTTCCAAAATTTCTATCTTTGTTATATGGGTGCATTGTTTGCATCAATCAAGTTATTGCATTGTACATGTTCCAAGCTGCATTCTATGTGTTCCAAAATTTCTATCTTTGGGTAATTGTATTGTTTTGCCTACACACTCCCATCATCCAAATTATTGCATTGTGCATGTTCCAAGCTGCTTTCTACATGTTCCAAGCTGCATACTTCTTCTTCTTCTTCGCTATAAGTACAGGCCACCGTCAGGTGTATTCTCGTACTGTAGGTGCTGTGCAGGTGTTTATATACATGTTGTCTCAATAAAAGGTCTACAATGAGCTATGTGCAGTTAAAAAAACATCCGTGGCTTAACGGAGCTGCATTCTACGTGTTCCAAACTTTCGATCTTTAGGGGATATCATTGTTTTGCCTACACACTCCCATCATCCAAATTATTGCATTGTACATGTTTCAAGCTGCTTTCTACGTTTTCTAAAATGTCTATCTTTAGGGGATAATATTGTTTTGCCTACATACTCCCATCATTCAAATTATTGCAATGTACATGTTCCAAGCTGCATTCTACCTGTTCCAAAATGTCTATCTTTAGGGGATAGTATTGTTTTGCCTACACACTCCCATCCAGGCGCGTACACAGGGGGGGGGGGGGGGTTAAACCCCCCCTTTGGTATTTTTATGTGTGTAAACCCCCCTCCCATAACCCCCCTAAAAGTCTCCCCCCCCCCACTTTGATTTTTTTTTTTTAATTATTAAAAAAATAAATATATATTCCCATGGCTGACCTAAAAAAGGTGACCTTACCCCCCCCCCCCCTCCCACCCACATGCACATTTGCTGAAAGACTTTCAATTCAGTTCACAGTTTTGGGTGTGCCAAAGCTTATTAGAATGTGTATAGTGTATGTACTATGTATATTGATACTGATGAGGCTACCATTGGTAAACAAGATTTATTATTATCATTATTATTATGTACATGTATATGTATACAGAAGTGAGTCTTTCTTGTACAATCCAACCCCCCCCCCCCTCCCCTCCCCACCCCACAAGAAATGTCTCTTGAGTTTGTAAGATTAACAAAAGGAAATGTTTCTTGTGTTTGATGGAAGCTAGCTAGGGTATCAAAATGTTCACAGAAAAAATCACTAAGGTATAGGAATGTGCCTTTCTAACATGTGATTACATGCACATTTATTTATTCAAATAAAACTTTGTAATATACAGTTCAATACAAACAGTCATGTTGTATTTGTATAAAAAGAATATTATTGTCGCGAATGTGCAGTGAGATGAGACTAATGAATCTAGAGTGAAGTGTACTACTAGGCCTATACAAAGTAGTAAATTTGAAGATTTACGTTGAATTTCTCTTAATGTAGCAGTTTATTTCTCTTAATGTGACATTTTATTTTCGCAAGAGTGAATTACAGATAAGCGCAATACAAATTTACAATGCAATAACTTGATTGTTGCAAGTGTGTAGTCAAAACAATACAATTACCCACAGATAGAAATTTTGGAACACGTCAGCTTGGAACATGTACATTGCAATAATTTGAATGATGGGAGTGTGTAGGCAAAACAATATAATCCCTAAAGATAGACATTTTGGGACAGGTAGAATGCAGCTTGGAACATGTACAATGCAATAATTTAAATGATGGAAGTCTGTAGGCAAAACAATATTATCCCCTAAAGATAGACATTTCGGAACAGGTAGAATGCAGCTTGGAACATGTACAATGCAATAATTTGGATGATGGGAGTGTGTAGGCAAAACAATATTATCCCCTAAAGATAGACATTTTGGAACAGGTAGAATGCAGCTTGGAACATGTACAATGCAATAAATTGAATGATGGGAGTGTGTAGGCAAAACAATATTATCCCCCAAAGATAGAAATTTTGGAACACGTAGAATGCAGCTTGGAACATGCACAATGCAATAATTTGGATGATGGGAGTGTGTAGGCAAAACAATACAATTACCCAAAGATAGAAATTTTGGAACACATAGAATGCAGCTTGGAACATGTACAATGCAATAACTTGATTGATGCAAACAATGCACTCATAACAAAGATATAAATTTGGGAACACGCAAAATGCAGTTTGGAACAGGTTAGATCGATGTAATAACTTATATTGATGCAAGTATTTCATTTCATTTCATTTCATTTCTTTATTGTGTCCATATAGGATAATTGTTTATATGTACATGAACAATCTTGCTTCAACATATAAACATAGGAACAACATATAATTGACATTCATATGGCCCTGTTTTAATATACATTTGATATAATATACATGGTCATTGTGAATATACATTTAAATACTCTTTCTTCTTCTTCATCTTCTTCTTCTTCTCTCTTTCTTCTTACATACTGTACACACCCTCCATTTTTTTTTTTTTTTTTTAATGAAGTCACAACAGCACAATACAAATATAGAAATGCACTAACATAATTGATGCAAGTATAGATGCAATTAATGTATTCAAAACACTACAAGTGTAGTGAAATACATTCTCTCGCTTGAAGGTGTAGTGCAGATGTGCTGTAATAGCCTAGATAGGCATGCACAGCGTGTACAGACAGTACACACGCCGTGTCGGCAAAAGCGTAATGCATATTCATTAGGGGGCGTCGACATTTCCTTAAAGTAGTGACGTGCGCAAACCTCTACATGTTCCAAACGATTGCCTACCGTAAGAGAGGGCACAAGGTACAAACAAATACGTGTGTGGGACTAAGAACGGGCTGGACATTTTGTGTTACTGAAATGTGCTTAGAATTCAAGTAATTCATCTATTAAATGACTATAACAAACAATAAACAAGACAAAGGTACATGTAAGGACAAGAATCAGTACTTATCAATATAACAGATATTTTGCATGAAATAGACTCTACCATCAGGAAAGCCATCTAAATTTGTCACAAATTAGCGACAAACACACCAAATTCAGCGCTGCAATGACGTACAAAACGGCGTAGAATTCAACTTTTCATCCACCAAATGAATTCAAACACTTGCATTATACAATCTTCAATAGTCTACCTGTATCACCGTTATCGCAAATAATAAAATCACAATCTATATCTAAGGCTAATATATGAAGACTAACAATATGGTAGGGTATTCTGCAATTAAGCCTCATCAATTGTCACTAAAGTACTGATTTTGAGTGAAATCAGTTGAGTTTTGTACAGTCAGTGGTGTTTGAAATGTTGAGAATCAAAAGCAGGTTTTACTACACAGCCAGGATAATGATGCTCCTATGTGTGAGATGTACTGTATGCAATGCCAATGCACGCACAACGCATACACTGTTGTTATAGTGTTACTGTGTTATAGCGCATGTAACTTGCCGAATTTGGCACACGACATTTCACATTTCGACACAAAAAATGTACACTTCGGATATTCAGAATACAATGAAACTT